ATTTGTTTTTAAAAAAAACATCTGGTTACGAAAAACCGTTAGGATTTTTCTTTAAGCTGTTCTGTCCTTAGTTCTACGTGTGTATAATGCATATTGTTCCTGAAGGTAACATAGACTAATAAAATTCTGCTCAATTTGGCCGACGGCGTTAGTCCGACATGTTTATTTGTTGTAAAAATTTATATTTGGATTGAAATTAAGAGACATAACGTGAAATACTGAGTATATTTAAATGCGCATCCTGATATGATGTAGCCAAAATTTATTTAGGGCTTAAAATGACTAAATAATGTAACCATATCGGTGCAGTAGTTTTCATTGGCAAGGTTTAACTTCACAATAAAGAAATTGCTGTAATTACTAAAGGGAGGGGGTGCAAAAAGTTTTATGGCTGATGCATATGAGTGCATTAGGAGTGCATACGTGTGCAATATTTGTTTGCGAAAATATTGCGTGGGGCTAATTTCACGGTAAAGAAATTGCTGTAACTACTGAAGGGAGGGGGTGCAAAAAATTTAATTGGTGGTGCATATAAATGCATTACAACTAACTGGTGCATTACAGTAAATCTTGAAATTTTCACTGGGGGAGGCAAGCGCTCATTTGGCCCCCTCCACAAAGGAAGGTGGTGCAAAAAATAATTAGTATTGCATCACTAGTGCATTCTAGTGCAATGTTTTTTTTTTTGAAAAATATCATTGAGGAGCCAACTTTACTGACCTCTCTAAGACAACGACTCGAAATTAGTTACACATAAAAAAATATATTCAAGCAAAATTATATGACAACAAGAAGAAAGCACGTGTTAACAAACAATATACTATTACATATCTAAAGAGTAATTAACTGGTATACCATGTGCTGAGACCTCCCAAAAAATATAATATAAAACATAAATGGTTTCCTCACATGTAAATCCAATCAATTCCCTCCCATGTGAAGGTTCTTTGATAGTAACAACCATTTATATTTTATATTATATTTTTCGAGACTTCTCAGCAAGTGTTATAAAAGTTAGTTACTCTTTAGATATGTAATACTATATATTATTTAAATACACGTATTTTAACACCTGTTTTCTTCTTACTTATAGAATTGATGATGGCCCAAGGCCAAAACCGGTTGTCATATAATGTTATTTTATTTTTTTTTTATGTGCGATTGATTTTGGTTCATTGTCTTATCTTAAGATGACCATATTAGAATCGTTGATACTCTTCTTCAGTTATATAATATAGACATGATTTCTTTAATAATATATCCAGGTCCATAATTAAAAAAAAAAAAAAAAATGTTGACAGTAGCTCTGACGTTAATCCTGTGAATTTTTTGATATTTTTACAGTTAAAAAAACTATTGTTGAAAAGAGAAAATGTAATTTTTAATTTATTTGAAATATTTCAGATGCCGTTCTGGATTTTTTACTTTCCTATCTGTATACAGATATAAGGAAAGTATAGGAATCATGATTTTTTCGACCTGGAGTTTTCGACGGATTTTTACGTTTTGAGGTCCCCTAAATCCGTTTTGACTATTTTCGCGATGATGTCTGTGTGTGTGTGTGTGTGTGTGTGTGTGTGTGTGTGTGTGTGTGTGTGCGTGCGCGTGTGTGTGTGTGTGTGTGTGTGTGTGTGTGTGTGTGTGTGTGTGTGTGTGTGTGTGTGTGTGTGTGTGTGTGTGTGTGTGTATGTGTGTGTGTGTGTGTGTGTGTGTGTGGGCGTGTGTGTGTGTGTGTGTGTGTGTGTCTGTGTGTCTGTATCCACCATAACTCATGAACCGATACACAAAAAACACCAAATTTTAAACAAGCTTTATTCCAGCGTCCAATGAACTGATTAGATTTTGGGCAGAGTCGGAATATATCTAAAAAAGTTACTTCTAATATTAGTATCTATAATTTTTGTTCTATACAAAATTTTCCTAAAATTGTCAGTATTCGAGAAATTTGACAAAATGGAAAAAAAATATTTTTTATAAAAATTGCTTAAATAAAAGGTATTTGTAATATTATTCTCTATAATTTTTATCCTATACATAATTTCTCTAAAATGAACCGTATTGAGATATTTGAGAAAATGTGTAAATTTTGAATTTTGAAGAAAACTCAAAAACTGATAAAGAAAAAACATTAAATTTTAAACTAAAGTTTTATTTCGACCTGACGTGAAATAATTGAATTTTGGACAAAGTTTGAACATCTAGGGGGTACTTTATGGGAGGCCGTTTTAATATTTTATGGAATATATCTGTTATTTATGTTTGGAGAAGATAATTGTTCAAATAAAAGTTACTTCTAATATTATTATCTATAATTTTTGTTTTATGTCAAAATTTCCTGAAATGGTTCGTATTCGAGAAATTTGACAAAATGTGCAAAATTGTGATTTTTATGAAAATTGCTGAACTAAAAGTTGTTTGCGATATCGATCTCTATAATTTTTGTTTATATACATGATTTTTCTAAAATGGACCGTAATGGAAAAATTGTAGGAAAAGTGCTAAATTTAAAATAAATAAATATCTATAGAAAAATATTTCGAGGTAGATGTACGTGGATAATGTATATATTGAGTTTATCCTCTAAACATTTATAGAGGCGCTCCAATAGGTTGTACAAAATAACCAGAAAAAACCTATAATAACTAGCTAGGAAAGTCATGTGTTGGACACATCAGATTTTTAGGTCTGGTTGTGTCAGTTACTTTTCCTCCTAAATACGCAACTTTTTCCTATTTAGTCGCATCTCTGTCTTCTACTCGTTTACTAATAGTGTACAGTGTATGGCCGGTTGCATTCCTTAATGAATGGAACAATACATTTTTGCGCTTTTGTTCTTTCTGCAATTATTGCATTATTTATGTGAACCTGAAACTACAGAGTGATTCATTAATGGTGGCGATCGTCCGTATTTTAAATATAAAATATGAATATATATTTACTTTAGTGCTATTGAAGTCCTATTAGATGTGGAACGGTTAGTTATTTAATTTCAGACGTAGACTGAATCTGCAGAATTGTGTTAGTATATCACAAATAGAAACATAATTAAGAATGGTATTTGCATTTGTATATCTTTCTGATATTGAATTATTTGAATTACATCTCAGAGGTCTTTTAAGAATACTTTGCCTTAATTTTATAAACAACATTATTTTAATTTTATTTCAAATGAACATTAGTTGTGTCAGTTACTCATAGTTTATGGGTGCATATGAAAATAATATAGAAGACTGCATTTGATTCTGAATAATATCAGAGTTACATGGACATTTTTTATCTCGTACCTACTTTTTTTATAAAAATAAAATACATTTTTTCTGCGATCACTATCCAAAGTTGACGTTCTTCACGAACTGACATTAAGTGACAGCTTTGCTGCTCGCCGTGCGACAAAATTGATAGCCTAATTTCTCATGGTGAAAAGCATGTAAATTAAATATATGGGCAGGAAAATGAATGTATTTAGTGAAACAAAATTAATTTCTACCATATTTTCCCAATATAATTATCAGTTCCTAGCGAAATAAAACCATATTTATAAACAATATAGAAAGGTCTAGAGGGTAGGCAATATATTGTTACACAGGTTTTTGCTATCGAAATTTATTTCAACTCAACTTTAACGACATTATACTGATAATATTAACATGTAACGTCTATCATAAAACTGAAAACTGACGTCAGGATCATCCTTATATAGCTTGCTTGACCCTTCTCGAACCTTCGCGAACTGTCGTCTAGAATATTCTTGACGGGTAATGACATTTCCAGACATTACTGGAATATTCTATCTTCTATTACTTGTACTTTCACTGTAGGGCGATGAGTAACATTCCACTTCTTTTTCTATCTGTACGTTTCCTATGATAGCCGCAGGCTACTGCAGGGTGCTGCGTAACAATATTATACACGATACTTAACTTTTAGACTTTTCAAATAGGCCATTTTCAATTAAATTCATTTGATATTTTCAGTTTGTATATGTCTATGTCTTAAAATATAGTGATCGTAGAAAAAATCTTGTTTGCAAAGTATCACTTTTCGCTCTTAATACACAAATAGCTATTTTTGTAACTACACAAGAGAGTTAAAATGACAAAAAGAATAACGGTTTTTTACTCAGGGGTCAGACAGACCTACCGCGACTAATGACATTTTATTGGTATATGCGCCTGATGAAGGGTTAAATGGTCTTTGAATAGTAAATTTCCCAATTATCGCTCACTGAAGATGATAACTTGGATAAGTTGTTTTATACACTGAATGATGAAGTATTTCCTTAAGACATACAAAAAGTACATGGTGTTGGGCAAATAATAGTATAATGTACTTAACCTTTCATTTTTAGACGTTACCTATGTTTAAAAGTAGGTACTATAGAAATCATATAATCAAGAAAAACGGCAGGCGACGTGGAAATATTAAGTTTTTGCTGAGCTGTTTGCGAAGAACTTTCATTGTCAGTATTACTATACAGAGTGAACGATGTTTGACTTTCATAGCCATCCCAGATTTAAAAAAAGCCATCTATTTATTCTAATTTACATAGGTAATCTATTTTTGTGTCTATCATAGAATCAGTTGGCGGTGTTCTAAGAATTCCATGTTTAAGCATTTCTTTATAACAATGTAGATAAAAGCAAAATTTGTTTAACACTATAGTAGCTTTAAATTTTACTTGTTCTAATATAGAATATGTATGTTTATTTAGTCTTTATTGTAAGAATATTCTTTTAAAATAAGTAATATTAATGGTAATTTTATGACAATTATGAGGTAAAGTGGAAATTAAAAATTATATTTTGTCACAGAAATACTATTTATAAATGGACGAGGGCAGAAGGTATATAGAATTAACAAATTTCTTAATTGTATTTTCTTAAAATGAAGCAGTAAAATGCCGAAATGTCAATAAAAATATGTAAATACTGTAGTTATTAATAGAGATACTAACAAAACAAATTCTTTTTTTTAATCGTTAATAGGGATTAAACATAATTAAAAATGCTTATTTGATTTACTTTGTTTTAGATTCCAACAAATGTAGATGAATGGAAAAAGATATCTTGAAAGTTTGAGAATATTTGGAATTTTCCCCACTCCGCTGATTCTATGAATGGAGAGCACGTTTTTAAACAATTGAACAGTTTACCGATTTATCAATTTTAATCAGTACTTCTCGTTAAGTTGGCAAGTACGATTTTACTGTTTTATTTTTCCTGATTTTGGCTATCAAGAAAAACTTGACCAATCTCGAATCTAAAAAGTGCAAGGAAACTAGTTCTGCATTCGATCAATTAACCTGTGAGTACAAATCTTAATTTAATATACATATCATTTATGGAAATTGGTTATTCCTTTAATTTTTTAAATAGCTAGACATACTTATTTTTTTGATATTTAAAATGAAGTGCATTTTTAGTACAGTCACAGGCGCCGACTTTTGTTTAACTCTTTAGGGGGAGGGGGTATATGTACCACAAATCGGTCTATCAGTAACGTGTGGAGGGTGGGTTACCCCCACGGCACTTAGGCCTTATTAGGCCCATTGTGCATCCTCCTGAGATGATAGGCACCTCCTAGCTCGTAAGCCAGCCTACAGATTTAATGTAGTTGACAACGTCGCCAAGAGGTGCTTCTCTTATATCGGCCGGTGTTAGCCGATACTCGCCGAACACAAATCTACTAAATGAGAGCGTCGGGCAATCGTAAAGTATATGATCGATGGTCTCATCTTCTTGTTTGCATCTTCTGCAGAGTGCGGATTCTGACAGCCCCATGATATGGAGATGCTTTCGTACTTGGCAATCCAGTGAGAATGCCTGTGACTATGGGCAGATTATGTCTAGTCATAGCCAAGTATTTGTTTGCTGCAGTGTTGTCACGATAACTTAAGAACTCCCTGGCAACCCTGCAGTTTCTTGTTTCACCCTATCTTTCCTTGAATTTCAAAAGGGAATATTCTTTGATTAGGTCTGTCACTACCGATTTTGTCAGGCCAATAGAAGGGTCAGGTCCAAAAAATATTTGGTTGGCTGCTTTCTTGGCTAGTGAATCAGCAAGACGGTTACCTTTCGATGTGGCGTGACCTTTGATCCATCTTAAGGTGACCACATTGTTGATGGATATTTCGGCCAAAGCTTCGTGACATTCTAGTAACTAACACTGAGTAAATTCGTGGTCTGTTCAGGTGAGTAGTGCTTGTCTGCTGTCTGTAAAGATGAGCATGTTCCTTCCAGTCATATTGTTTCTGGTTATTTCTTTTGCTGCTATGAGAATCCCCGTTAGCTCTGTTTGAACTACACTGGCACTATTGCTCACAGCCCATTTTATGTTAAGGTTTAAGAATTTTGGAGTATATTCCACATTCTAAGCCTTGTTTTGTTTTAGAACCGTCGGTATGAATCATACCTGCCACTTCCGGCTTTATTATTTGTTCTATTATAACTTTATATGGCTTATGGAAGATATATCTCGGTGAGATGGAGTCCATATTAGTTTGAAGCAGTGGGAGCGTATCGAGCGCCTCCTGACAAAAGCGACGTCTCGCCTCACCAGATCCTACATCAGGTTATATTCCAACCGTGCGGAGGCGTGTAATTGTCGTCAGAGCAACCTCCCTAATATAAATATCAAGGGGAGTGAGACTAAGAATGACTTCCATGGCCCTGGTCGGTGTTGTTTTCATGGCCCCTGTTACGTTGAGACATGCTGTTCTTTGAATTTGTTCTAGTTTACGGATAGCAGTTCATTTTTGGGTTTTCGGTACCCAGACAACTGCACCGTATATTAGCATAGGTCTTATGATAGCCGTGTAAGTCCATGCGACGACTCTGATCGAGAAACCGCAGGTGCTCCCACGTTTAGGCGGCATTGTTCATAAGCAGTGTATGCTTTTTTATTAAATACGAGTTCCATGTTAACTTGCTGTCAGAGGTGAGACCGAGGTACTTCACCTCTGTTGCAAAGTCTAGTTTTGTGTTTAGGAGTTCTGGAGGTTTTAATTCCATTTTCATCCTTTTCCTTGTGAAAAGGATCTTTTCTGTCTTTTTAGGATTGCTAGACAGTGAATGGTCCTTGCACCACTGTTCGATAATTTTTAGAGCTACTTACATTCGTTCGCAGAGTATGTTCTCAAAATTCCCTGTTTGCAGAATGACCAGTTCATCTGCATATGCTTTTGTGTAGTGAGTGTCATTATTGAGGCGGCTGATGAGGGTGTCGAGGGCCATATTCCACAGTAGAGGTGATAGCACCCCTCCCTGTGGACATCCCCTCGCAATCAAGCCTCTTTTATTCACATCTTCTACACTTATGTTTACTGCTCGCTTTGAGAGCATGTTATGTATTCACCCACTAACCATTTGTGGAACATTCCTGTTGGTTAGTGAGTGTATTATCTTTGGTAAGGTGGTTTTATCAAAAGCAGATTCTATGTCTATGAAAACACCCAAGGCGGACTCCTTATTGTCCAGAGATCTTTCTATCCGGCTAGTAACTAGATGAAGGGCTGAATCAGTTGATCTGCCTGGGGTGTATGTATGTTGGTTTGGGTGTAGTGGTATTGTTGTTATCACCGTATCCCTTATGTACCTTTCGTATAGCCTTTCCAATGTCTTCATTGAAAACGATATCAGACTAATTGGTCGGTATGTTTTTGGGACAGTGTAATCCATCCTTCCAGGTTTGAGTATAAATACCACTTTTACCTCTCTCTCCATTTTTTGGGGATATACCTCAAAGCCAACGAAGATCTGAATATACCCACCAGGTGCGGTGTAAATTCTTCCAGACCCCACTGAGGTAGGGCTGGATAGATACTGTCAGGTCCTGGCGATTTAAATGGAGAGAAGCTGGATATTGCCCATCCAATATTTTCATCGTCTACAATGTGTTTTTGGCAGTTTGCCAATCATAGACAGATCTATTTTATTCTTCCTCTGCCCCGTCCGCCACGTGTGTGATGACCGAATCAGGTAAGTGTGTTGCCAGCAAAAGTTTGATGCTATCTTCGAGATTTGCAGTTTTCGTGCCATCCTCTTTGATTAGCGCACCAATGCTTCGGTGTGGATCTTTTGAGAGAGCTTCTCTGAGGTGAGATTTGTAAGTATCCCAGTCCTCTTTGAGTTTTGTGGTCCTTGCCTTATTAAAATATTTTCTAGCCATCTTCCTGAGGTGATCCAACTCGTAACACCACCATGCGGTAGTCGTCTGATTGTGTTGGACCAGCCTCAGAGGAGAGGATTTCTTATAGGCATTGTTTATTGTGCTTTGGATAGTGTTCGTGTACTTTTCCAAAGCAGTATTATTGTTTAGTGTTTCGGCCTCCATCACTCTCAGAGCCTCTTGGAGAAGGTGGGCTAGGTTGCCCTCTCCGTCTTACTAGGGTTCCGAGATAGCGTGGAGTTTGGCAACATCAAGTTTATTTTGAATGTTAACCAGCGGTGATCTGAGATCAAAATGTTATCAGACACTTGCCAGTTAAGAATTGATTTATAGATACCAGTTGTGGATAAAGTGATATCTATTAGTGTTTAACTACGAGAGTTTAAAAATGTTGGTGTGGTACCTTTATTTAAAATACAAAGATTTTTGGTAATTATATAATCATAAAGTGACTTACCTTTAGCGTTGTTATCCTTACTGCCCCAACTGAAGTGATGAGCGTTTGAGTCGCAACCTATTACCAGCTCAAACTTCTGTTCTAGGCAGTATTCAATCAGATCCTTAATCTCTTTGCTGGGTGGTGGCGTGGTTGCGTCGGAGGGGAGGTAGATGCCAGGATTAACGTTCTCTTTTCCGTTTTGATGGCGTATTCAATCCTAACCGCAGTTAAATCGAAGGTGGAAAGGTATGTCATTGAGTGGGCTTTGTTTTTCCTAGAAATATAAATGGCTGTCCTAGGTTGTTGCTTGCTGGGAAAGCTAAAAATTGAACCATTTTTATGACCTAAAATTTTGGTTTTTATTATCCAGGGTTTCTGGATGAGTGCTATTGTATCTTGCAGCTCATCAAGGCGGCGGCATAAAGTTGCCATAGCCACCATTTTGTGCTGCAAGTTACATTGTATAAACTTTACCTCTTTTAGTGCTTCCTGGTCCTCCATTGAAAATTGGGCAGCAAGGTGGTTAATTATTCGACCATCCCTTCATCCGAAAATGGGGAGGGGGTGGTCTCTTGTGGCTCCTCGGAGTTTTCTTGCTGGAGGTCATCGACTGCCATTTTTTCTGGCTCAACGTTCTTTTGTGTAAATTGGGGGGAAAGAGGGTTCTTTACCAAGGAGTCTTCACTGGGCCTTATAATCGCCGAAGACAATGAGATGGCCCTTAGGGTCCTTTTTGATTTGGAAGGAGCACCATTTCGCCACATGCAAGTTTGGGTTTTGCCCCTCAAGTCGCCTGAGCACAATCTCTTTCTCGTCATTCATTCATCGAGCACTTGGGTATAAACAGCTTAGAATGAATTAACCTTGGAGTATTTCTTCAATTCGTGCGTATTACACCTTCTGTTCATTTTGAAATAATTTAATAGGAATGATTCTGGTTCTATAAACTCTTTTAGCCAGCGCGTCGGCTTTTGCCTTGCCCTACATACCATTGTTTCTTAAAAACCAGATCAAAGTAACTTTGTTGCGAGCACCGATACACTCAAAGGTATTTATACAGTTCCAAACCAACTTTGAGTCAACTCGATTAAAGCTGAGGGTCTTGAGAATTACCTGGCTATCCGAAAAGATCTTTATAGTCTTGTTAGGGGGAAAATAATGTTTCAACTATCTCGCTTCCAATTTTATAGCTAGAAATTCTGCTTGGAGGATCTTGGCCAGAAGGCCTAGATTTATTGATATGTCAACTCTTGGCTTTTGGCTGAAAACTCCCGCTTTGACTTCTCTTTTAGTTTTATACTTGTCCAGAACGTAGTCCGACTGGGAGAGGATTTTATCCCTCTGCTTCATACGTCTCTTTCTGGAATGAGGACGATGTATGACTTTTTTGTGTGCTGTTGCGGAACTAGCGAGTCAGCGACCATGCCAAGAATGTGGTAGTTGTTAATCTAACTTATCAGTTCTTCATTGCATTGACTACCCACCCTCAGAAGTCTATAGAAGACAATCCTGACCTTTCTTTCCAGAAAATGTTAAATGTTAAATTCCAGCAAGCTTTGCTCTGGCCGTCCGTTAAAGTAAATTTTCTCATCAGACGCCGGAGGTGTACGTAACCATGAGTTTTACCGAGGTTTGGTAAATTTAGAGTTAAGGACTAATTCCCATGTTTTGTCGCATTTCTTTGGCGAAAGGAACGATA